TGCTCCACTCTTCTTGCCACTTATCATTGGGCAAGATGATAACCCCAAGTTGCTCTCCAGTGCATCCATTGGAGTGTGAAAGTGTGTGAGTGCTAGATAGAAAGCACTTAAGAAGGTGTTTGTGTGAATAGGTGAATGAGGCATGTTGTAAAAAGCGCTATATAAGTCCAGAAAATAGAAAATAAAACACATTTACCATGCGTTTGCTTATTGTTGAAAGCCTCATTATTCTCTATTGTATTGTTTTCACTTTTTACTTATCTTTATCATTTAAATCGTTTTTAGCTTATAACATGAAGTAAGAACTTAAAGAAGAAGCTAAAAGAAGATACTGAAACATCAAAGTTAAAGATGAACTTTATTATAATTGTTTTGGTATAAGCAGCTTAAATGAAGAGGAATAGCGTATTATAATACAATATGACAAAATAGATCTCTCAATAAAGTAAAAATTACACAGAAAGAAGTTCACTTAAATAAAGAAGATAACATAAAGACATTCAGTAAGTAAAAGGAGGCAGTAGAAGTAAAAATACGTTTACAAAAATCTGAATATATTACAAAACGGTTCAATAAATACATTAAAGCTAAATTTAAAAAAAGTTTTTCCCCTCATGAAGAGAAAGGAGTAAGTATCGACACAGTTGCTAACCGTGTTTTCTTTTCTTTTTACCCTCCAGTCCTTGATTCTGAGCACAGCTGTTCCCACAATCATTTGCTTCAGTTTGTGGAGAGAGGTGAGGCGTTCAGCCCCTTTTCTGTGGGAGCTCTTTATGTTAGACACACTTTATATCTCCTGCGTAACGCTCTTTCTCTCCCATTCTGCAGTTCTCCCCTCGCGTCTTAGCAGAGTTATCAGAACTGCAGGAGTTCTACGATGGAGACACAGTGGAGCTGATGAGCTGGATCAAGTGGGTCTTTAGAACTTCCTGTATTTATAAAGATATTTGTAAAGTATTTTATCATGGCATCAACCATCGTCTTTCCTCCTCATGTAGGTCACAGGCTCCGGTGGCAGCTGTGTTCGCAGGCAGTCCACAGCTGCTGGGAGCAGTGAAGTTGTGTTCGGGTTCAGCTGTAACTAGTTTACCTCTTTATTCAGACATCAACCTGCTGAAGAGGACTGAAGATGTGAGTTATCATTGACAACATATCTGTTACCTTAACAGTGCTGCTGTCAAGAAGATACTTGTGTCTTATAATCAGCTATAAAAAATGCCTGTTAGTCATATTGGTTAAAGTGCTGAATGTGAATTTTAGTCCAAACAGAGACTGATGTTCCACATGTTTCAAAGTAAATTATTAGTTTTATTGTTGGGTCTTTAAAATGTAAAGCACCTTAAACTGGCTGTTTTTGTGATTTGGCGCAACACAAATAATATTGAAATGAAATTAACTGAAGTTTAACAGAAAATAAAAGGAGGTAATCTTTCCTTTCCCAGACGTACCAGGTGTACGCAATGAGATCTGCAGAGGACATCTACAAGCTCCTGACCGCCCAAAAAACGAACTACGTGATCATCGAAGAGTCGATTTGTAATGAGCTCACTATTAATAAGGGCTGTAGGATCAAAGACCTGCTCGACATCTCCAACGGACATGTGAGTTTAAACCCTTTCCTCCGTTATAGATTTCTTACAGATTGGACAATTTTGAGTGGATATCAATAATATGGTCCTCTTGGGTACACACACCTACTGATTAGATCTTTTGAGGATGGTTGACCTTAAAGGAAAAGGAGCTAAAATAGCATTTTTCAGACAGTGGCTACACTAAGAACCCAGAGTATGATTAATGAAGATTATTTTTAACTTTAAATCATGCATAGCTACTCTAGCGGAGTCCAAGAATAAATAATTTTCTGCTACTACTTTATTATTAGTATTGCTTATCCAATCATGTAGCCATAATCAAGACATTAGTTGCAGAATATTTTGCAAACTCTACAGAATTCGAGTCTTTTATACTTTCACTCATGATCTGTATGTTTGTCTCTTGCAGATAGTCTATGACAAAGGCGAGATATACTCCTTCTCCAAATATGGACGATTCTGCCACGAGATAAAGATGAACTACTCGCCCTACACAAACTACTTCACACGAGTTTTCTGGAACCGCTCGTACCACGTCTACAAAGTGAACTCTGTCATCTCCTTTCAGTACTGACGGCCAAGCGTGGCTCTGCCCCTCCTCAGGTGTTCCTGATCGTATCCACAGATCGGCACACCGGGGCGAAAAAACTCTGATTATCATGGTGTCAGTGGGGAAGCTGCACATTCAAACAGTGAGGCTCAGCTGAGCACACTGCACCGGCCAAACAACATGTATGGACGGCCATATTATTAATCACTGTACTGTAGTTTTATAAGCCATGTGTTACTGTTAATGTTACTATGAATGGTTTTAATGAAGGTGTGAGTCGCAGGGATCAGTGTAGGCTGAGAAGGGGAAAGTGTTTGCCATGAAATGAAGCAGCCAGAGGTTTAATCCTGTTCACTGATTGGTCCTTTTGTGCTGACAGTGATTGGCTAGGATGCATAATTATGTTCCTTTTCTTTATTTTCAATCACTTTTATCAAGTTTATTTTTTTAAACACCTGCAAAACTGTAGACCTTTGAATCAACATCAGTTAGGGTGCTGATTAAAAAATTATGGCATTAGCATTTAGCTCAAACCAGAGCTCCACAGGCACTCCAGTGTGGCTCTTGACCCTTTTTTGGGGGGGGGATAAATCTTTATGCATTTAATTTGATTTTTGTCTTAAATGTTTTGCTTTTCTGTTCTGTTCATGTGTTATAATCACGCTACTGTTGTCTACTTAAAGAGAAATGGGTGTCTTCTGTCTAAATTATGAATTTCATGTATTATACTAGCATAGTTGGATCATTTTTGTCTTGATTTAAAGGAAATAATTAGACTGAATCACTGAGCTAATAATCATAATCAGCAATCAAGAATTTCAAAATGAAAGTGCTTTATGACAGGATAACACGTAAGATTAGTCGGAATCGTTTTTCGCTTGATTATGTAATTTTAAGGTTACCAAAAAAACCAAATAGTGACAAGCATACATGCTCTTGATTTCTGTCACGCTCTGCCTTTGTTTGCTCATGAAATACTCATGCAGTGCATGTGTACGCGCTGTTCTTTGAAGGGTTGTTGCTGCTTTGGTCGGCTTTCGTGGGAAAGGCGTCTCTCTGTACTGTTTGCTGCTTGTTGTGTGCTCTGATCTGTTAAAGGGAAGTGGAAGAAGACTGTCCAGAAAAGTGTTATCAGTTTTTATTTGTTACTGCTGCCTGAAATCTACTGAAAATAACTGATATCTGAAGTAGGCATGTCTTTACACACACATTTATATGTCTGAACTCACTGGTTGCTCCTATTGTGCTCTGCTTTTTTTTATTTCTTTGACATGAGATGGTTGTATTCATGGCCTATATAAAAAGGGTTGACTGAACTATCCAGGACTTGCACAACCTTCTGCAATCTTCTAAACTGAGCTTTTTCAGCATTTTAAGGTGGTGGAGGCTGGTCCTGGATGCCTTATGTAAAGACATGGCTGCCATGTCTGTATTCATCACTTCCAGGCATGACTGATAATTTCCTATCCCCGAGCTGTTACCTTAGGGTTTTGGTGATGAATTTCTCTTGGTGCTGTCATACAGATAACAAGGTGGCCGTGTGGTGAGTGTGTGAGGTGAATAAATATAACACTGAGCTCTTCTTGTGTGGTTCTTTTAACATTATCATTAGCCTCATCAGAAATGGTCTTAGTGCAAGAGTTTGTATCAAGACGCTGTTCTTAAAGATGATGTGGCTGAGGCATGCCAAATTACACAAGAGCCTGCATAGAAAAACACTGTAGAGCACTATCAGTCATGGATTGGCCTCCTCAGAGCCCAGACCTCTTACTGACAGAGTGAGGGATCACCTTGACAAAGAACAGAAAAAAAAAGCAGCCAACATCCAAAGATGAGCTTTGAATGTTCTTCAAGAAGCCTAAAGAACTATTCCTTAGAAATATTTTTAAAAATTACAAAAAAGCTTTCCCAAAAGAGTTCAGAATGCATGGAAGAGTAAAGGTGGTATGTCTGTAAAGGTGGTCATACCAAATAATGACTTTTAAGATTTTTACAAACTCTGTTTTTGCTTTATAAACTTTTTAATGTATGTTTGTGCATTATTTAATAAAACGGAATATAAAACCATGAAAGGTGGCTCAACAACTGTGTACTGTATGTTTAATCTACTACAGCTCCAAAAATGTACGTTTTTAACTTGAACAAACATTATTGCATATATAAGCTGTCAATAACGTCAATTCAGTTATTGAATTTAATAAAAACAACTAGAATGGAGAACATTAGAAGAGAGTATTCCAGAGGAACAGCTCAGCTTGAGTGGTTTGGAAACAAAGTTAGAGGCAAGCCCGAGATGGTTTGGTGCATATGAAGGATTTTGGAGATGGAGCTGTCAAGCAGGAGACCACAGAGAAGACTCATAAATGCAAGATAATAACTGCAGGCAATTTTTACATTATAAAAAGCAGTTTGTAGTAATTTCAGTCTTTTATTTTCATTTTCATTAACTGCCAAAATTGCAGTAAGCATAATGCTGCATTCATGGCCTATCGGTAGAATGGAAAACAAGACGATTAAGCGCATTCTGCTTTATTTTGTGCTCTTGCTCGCTTTTTATTTCACATTTATCTAAGATTACCTTAAGGTTGGCTATGGTTAACGTCTTACGCAATCTCATAGTTGCACTATAAACTGCCTAAATGAGCAAATTTTTGCATTATGTGTTTATAGTTTGGTTTACAAGTGAAAGTAAATCCCGACAAACATTTTAAATGATTGAGTTAAGTTTATAGTATAGGTCTTATTTTTCTTTTCTATTTCTAAATTCACTGCCAGACGTTTTAACGTCCGTGCAAATAACTCGTCCGACCCTAAAGTTTTATACGAATTGAACCAATGGGACCTGAACGCGGCATAAGTATGCGCAATCATGGCGCATTTTTGTGTGTCCTTGGCGACGAAGCGGAACCGGAATTACGAAGGAGATATGGCGTAGGGCACAATGAATTATGAGAGAATCAGTTAGTGTAGCTGGTCCAGCTCCTAATTTTGACATTTTGGTGCACATTTTGCCCTCCTGTCTTCTGAACGATCACTGTGCCCCGTTAAGGTAAGACAGTTGGTCCCTACATGCGCGGAACAACCGCCAAAATCTAGACGGCAAGCCGGAATATTAGCCAAAAGACTCCTGGCTCCAAACATAACACAGAATAGGAAGGTGGCGTGCGTTTGGTTTGTTTACAGTGGCAGCCCGAAACATCATCTGTAAGCGTGCATTCTTGTAGGTTCAATGGGTAAATTTGATGCCCCCGCCCAGTTAGGACGCCCCGTGAAAATGATTAGAGCTCTCTAAACAACTACTGAAAATTTTAGTGTTAGCTGCTCTGACAGGTGAAGCTATCTAACCTATTATGGAAGTAAATATCTAATAATAGTTACAATTATTTTGAAACTATAAATATTTTTGTTCACAAAATATGAAATTTTATATATATTTACCATCTCCAAGATTTTTAACGACTGAATGTAACATTACATGATTGTAAATATACTTAATTTCAAAGAGTGAAACGTAATTACAGAGTTTTTAATTAAGTATCAAAGGTTTAATGTACATCAAAAGGCCCTAACTGTTCAATATTACAAATACAGTCATGTGGAAAAGAAAGAAAAACTAAGTGCAACATATGATTCAGTAGTGTTTGGAAGCTTTAGCAGCAGTAACTTGATGCCATTTTTTTTTTATTACTTTCTGATGCTCTTCGTGGAGCTGCTGAAGGAGGAAGAGAGGAAGGTCCTGGTGGAGCAGATTATCTTTGCCTGGTTCTGGTTGGTTTAAAGTTAAAAGAACAAATGATCATTTCATTTTTCCTGACAAAAATTCCCAAGAGAAGGTAGTACTGTTAACCTTACAGTCACCTGTTTATACACCAGTTCTCCTTAAGATGAGTGAACTAATCTAGTGTATAAATATAATAGAAATAAAAATAAATACATTATGTGGTTTTTACTGACAAAGAACTTACATTAAAAACCCCAAACACTTTATATTTATCCTTAAGATCCATTCTAAATAAAGCTGATGTTCATATCTGCATATCTGCAGACGAGGATGAGTGCAGAAGCAGCAGACCGTGTGGCCGCTGTGACCAGCAGTCGGCCTGGCACGCCTCTTCAGACTTCCTGGTTTGAGTTTCTCCTCGACGACAGCCTGCTGGAGAAACACCTGCAGAAATCAAACCCAGGTTTGTTCAGCCTTACTCGTGAGTCCATCGTTTATTTTTTAATGACATCTCATGGACTTGTAAATGCTTGTTAATAACTGTTCTTTCTGCAGACCCAGCACCAGTGCAGCTCATCAACCAGTTCCTGGAGCAGGCGTCGAAGCCATCAGTGAATGAGCAGAATCAGGTCCAGCCTCCAGCCGACAACCGTCGGAACCGCACATTGAAGCTGCTTGCACTGAAAGTAGCTGCTCACATGAAATGGGATCTTGAGGTGCTTGAGAAAGGGTGAGTCAGAGTGTTTTAGATGGACATCTTTCGTTATCAGAGTGTCTTTACGAAAAAGCCAAGTGGAATATGTCTCAGCGTGTAATTTAACAAAAATTCCTATTATGCCATTCTCTAATACCTGCTCGGCAGATTGACCATTCCTGTGTTAAACATGCTGCTGAATGAACTCCTGTGTGTGAGCAAAGTGCCGCCAGGGGTGAAACATGTGGACCTGGACCTCTCTACTCTTCCTCCCACCACTGCCATGGCTGTCATCATCTACAACCGCTGGTGAGTGAGATGACTCTCTCCGAAAGCAGCTGTCATGAGCTCAGTGGTAAACTAGTAAAATGGACTATGGAAGTGTTTATTTATGTTTGTATCCAAGTCTTAAACTGTAAATGTAGATTAAAAGAGGGTGCATGAATAGAGATTGGCAGAGAATTAACCACTCATTTGTCTCATTTATATTTTGTCTGTTAAAGGGCCATCAGAACAATTGTGCTGAGCAGCTTTCCAGAGAAACAAACCAAACCTGGACCCCACCAGATAAACATGTAAGTCCTTCTCCTTCCTCTTCCTCCCCTTTATCACTTATTGCATCCATACTTACATGTTTTTATTTTCAAATTTGTGTTATGCTATGTTACCACCTGCCTACCGCTCTGCTCCTGTGCTGGAGTTTTAGCCCTTCAAAGACTTTTAGAAGCACATCTGACGCTGTTTCAGTTTTAAATCTCTGGGATTGTGTTTTTGTGTTGCCAGCCAGACATTCAGACTTCTGAAAACATTGAGACATTGTTCTACCCACATTCATTTGCTGATTGGCTTTAATTAGTCACAAAATATTAATTTAAAATTCTCATTGAGACAGATCACTTTCATCTTATTTTAAAATTAAAACATTTTATTGTGTAAATATACACAATAAATAAAAAATGTACTTGTGCTCATCTAATTCTTTGTAAAAATACCAACATCCAGGCTTAATTTTGCAAATTTAGTGAAAAATAAATCATGTATTCCACTGAATGCTTCTGTTGTGCCCTGATTTAGGTTGAATATTGTACAGCAGGAGAAAGAAATGACTGAAAACATCCTCACTGTGGTGAGTAAGCACCTTTTTTATGATCCATACATACTCTGTGAGTACATAAAACTATACCTTATTAATTATATTATTAGACATGTCATTTAAATTTCAGATAAAGTAACAGCAGAAGTTGATACTATTTTTAAAATGTTTCATTCCTTCAGCTAAAGGAGCAGGCGGCTGATTCCATCAGTGTGCTGGAAGGAGCTGTGAGACTAAAGAAAGACTTCTACGTTCACACCATGAGGACTCTGGACCTGCTGGCTGCAGACACTGCTGCCAACGGAGAGACAGAGTCTTCGACCGCAGGGCTTCGCATCAGCGCCGATGAGCTGCACTGCCAGGTTGGCTGAGTGCACAGCGCTGTCTTTCTAGAACTCTAATCCTTCTGGAAAAAAAGTGAATTTTCTTTGGAGTAATAGAAGGATTTGTGTTTCAGGTGCATTATGATTTAGGAGGCATTTTCTTCCATCAAGGCTGCACAGACCTGCCAATCTATGAGAAGGCTCGGGATCACTTCAGACAGACAAAGGAACTTTTAAAGAAGGTAATCATATTTTATCACAGCTTCAATGACACAGTATGATTTAACTTTCTCAGGAGAGCCACAAGATGTAACTTTTCTCACAAAAGCTGCTGACATGGAGCTTTAGCAGTGGTTCAGTTTACCTTTTTCTCTACGCCTTTTAGCTAGACTCAACAGTTCATGTTCACCTGGATGAGAAGCGCCTGGCTGGATACTGGAACGCCTGTAGAGCTTTGACCGGAGACTGTGACCCCTCTGACCCCCAGACGACACCCTACGACCAGATTAACAGCCTGATCCGGGCTCACAACTACCCGGTCAGAGCAAACACATTGGAGAGATTTGAGTACTGCATTCTTATGAGTGTTGTGTTGCTTAGGCAGAAGTAGGTTGAGATCACAAATAGGGGCAAAAAATGGTTTGTAAACTCCACTTTAATTCTCTGCAGGCCGTCATTGAAGCCTTCATCAAAGACAACATATCGCGCAGTTTGCCAAACCACTTCAGACGGTCTGTTCTCCGGGAGTTCTTGTATAAAGTCCAACAAGGGTGAGGAAACAACAAAATCAAACCTCTCTGCACGCACTGCAGCTAGCACAGACTTCAGTCACTGATCCATAGAGAGTTGTTATGGTCTGTTCTTTCACTCATTCTACTTGTGGAAATACAGTTTCTGTGGTTTCTTTGTGGACCACAAACTTTCAGCTTTAAGCCAACAGCTGGAATCGGTTAACACGTGAAGCTGATATATACCATTAAATAGTCAATAGGTTTGTAAAATAGTCTTGTAAAAGCATTTTATGCATTCATATTTTTGTATAACATCCCATCTCCCTGCAGGGAATCAGGCCTGGATGAGGTGTGTCACAAACTCTGTGTCTGCAACGCCATCCGCGACACTCTGGAAGGAGAGATCCTCAGCGTGCGTTTTCAGCAGCTGCTCCTTAAGCCTAGCAAACAAGTGGTGGACTTCATTTTAGAGGTAACTCAGTAAATTGTGACCTGTGGTTTTTAGAATAGAATAGAATAGAATTCAACTTCATTGTCATTGCACATGCACAGGTACAGGGCAACGAAATGCAGTTTGCATCCATCCAGAAGTGCTTTAGTGATATAGATATATAACAATATATATTAGCAATAATATAGATATGTAAGTATATTACAGAAATGGGTCTATTATGGTATGTTATAATGTACACGGTATGAAGTATGTTGTGAATATTCTATAACTATAAGTATGTACAGGCTGTAGTGAGTACAAGCTATGTACAGGCTATGAACAGGATATAAATATGAAAAACTATACAGAATATGAAATAAATAACTTTACAGAATCTGAGATATACAGCTATACAGAAATGGGAACTATGCAAGTTGTAAACAGTTGTAGGATTAAAGATTATCGAATGTACAGAATGATTATTTACACAGAGCTATACAGTAGTGCAGTTAAGATAAGTGAGGGTGTAGATAGTTTCTACAGAGGCTATATAAAGTGCTAGTGGTTGTGAGTGGTGGTTCAGTCCATGTTATTATTGTGTGTTTGAGGGTACAGTTGTCCATTGTGGGTGTGTGTATGTTCAGTCCATGAGTTTAACGTGGGTCAGATGTCAGGAGGCAGAGTTCAGGAGTCTGACAGCTGTGGGGAAGAAGCTGTTCCGGTACCTGGTGGTCTTAGTCCGGAGGCTCCTGTGGCGCCTCCCAGAGGGCAGGAGGGTGAAGAGTCCATGTGATGGGTGACTGGGGTCTTTGATGACTTTCCCAGCCCTTTTCAGACACCGCTTCCTGTAGATGTCCTTTATGGCAGGAAGTGGTGCTCCGGCGATGCGCTGGGCAGTTTTCACGACCCTCTGCAACGCCTTCCGGTCCGAGGCAGAGCAGTTCCCGTACCAGACTGTTATACAGTTGGTCAGGATGCTCTCGATGGTGCAACGATAGAAGTTCACCAGGATGTCTGAGGACAGGTGGTTCTTCCTCAGAGTCCTCAAGAAGAAGAGGCGCTGGTGAGCCTTCTTGACCAGCTTGGAGCAGTTGGTCGTCCAGGTAAGATCCTCGGAGATGTGGACTCCCAGGAACTTGAAGCTGCTCACACGCTCCACAGCCGTCCCCTTAATGTGGATGGGTGGATGTGGGTCAGCATTCCTCCTGTAGTCCACGATGAGCTCCTTGGTCTTCTCGGTGTTAAGCAGCAGGTTGTTTCTGTCGCACCACTCAGCCAGACGATCCACCTCCTCCCTGTAGGCGGCCTCATCGTTGTCACTGATGAGGCCAATCACCGTGGTGTCATCTGCAAACTTAATGATGGTGTTGGAACCATCAGCAGGTCTGCAGTCGTGGGTGAAGAGGGAGTAGAGGAAAGGTCTCATCACACAGCCTTGTGGTACACCGGTGTTCATCGTGATTGTAGATGAATTACTTCAGTATTATATTAAGAACAGTTTTTTCTTTCATGTAGTAAAAGTTGTTTAAAGCCACTGCAGATTACAGTCAGACTTTGTTTGCCCTGCAGGTGTGCACACGCTCGCTGGAAAAAGACCGTCCATCTGAGGCGTCCAGAAGAAACATGGCTAATTTCCTGAAGTGAGTCAGAGTCACTGTTTTCCATGCATTGGACAATTATATAGGAGGTTATCAAGGGTCTGCTACAGAGATGATGTCGGGCAACAATACATTATTCAAATTCTATACTTGATGATGATGATGAAGACTTTGTCTTCCTTCTCAAGTCAAGTAGTCAAGTATTTATTTATTGTCATTGTCAAAGAACAATGAAATTGCGTTTGGGGCTTCCGTACAACCCGTAAAAAAAAAAAAACCTCTTATGGTGCAGGACTCTGTGTGAAAGCTTGGAGGACCTGTCTCTGGTGTTTGTGGTGTCATCCCATAAACTCTTCATGGAGCTGCTGAAGGAGGAAGAGAGGAAGGTCCTGGTGGAGCAGATGAGGAAGAGGTCGGCCACAATCAACCTCAGTGCCAAACCTCTGCCTTCCTTCTACGACATTCCAGGTACGTGGCCGAGACTTCTTGTAATGGAGGAGGTCACTTTAAGAGGGATGGACTTGACCTCCTGACTATGAATGATGTAGATGATAAGGTGCTGACTCTATGAATCCACAATCTCAACAGGGTTGTCCGATAAGAACAGATGGCGTATCCACAAAATCCACTGCCACTCGGGTATCTGCCGTTCACTCATTTATTTAACAAGAATCCGAAGCACACGTCCATAATGTGAGTGAGGGGATTTAACAGGCTGTAAAATGCTATATGCCGTGTGGTGAGTGATGGTGTGGTTTCTGTTGGAAAGAACATAAGTCTTCCATAATTATGTGAACAGAGTGAATTAAATGTGTAATACAACAATACAAACAATACTGGATAGTGGAACAGTCAACCAAAATAAGGGAGTGTCAACAAATGCTAATTTTACTATTTACATAAATCCTAACCTTCCCTTAATGACCGCACGGCAGAGGCTGCTTCGCAGTAAACGGCAGTAACAATCGGTAAACAAAGGGTGCGCCACGGATTAAACAAGGGAGGATAATGGTCACAGCAAAGAACAAACACGATAAAACACAGAAACTTACAGTCTCATGGACGCACACCGCTAACAGCATTAGAAGGAACGAAAATCCACACGGTGAGTAAAACTCTGCTGACTCTTCCCACCTGCAGCTCCGACCGAACTCTCTGCGTCGACGTGTGCGTAATGATGAGGTAGAATTGTGTCTTCAAAATTCAAATTCAAATTTTTATTTGTCACGTACACAGTCATACACAGTACGATATGTAGTGAAATGCTTAGACAACTGCTCGTGACCTAAAGAAAA